TGATCCGTCCATTTTGGAAAGGTGTGTTTCACGAAGGAACCTTATACTGAATGACACCCTATATTCAAAGGATCTGTTTCAGGCCTTAAAAGACATAGGAACCAAACAAAACACTGAGATAATAGTTCATTTTTATTCGAAATTACTCCACTGCTTGACCATTATGCATCAATTATAGGTGTATTTCTTTGGCTTTCGATGCGTGGCCTTGATGGAAACGGATTTCATCTTGAAAAAACTGGTCCAACTTTTTAAGTTAAACTCGCGTCTTGTCATAAATGATCATACTTTGTTTTCCCTTTGATAGAATCATTTGACATCTTTCTTAGTTTAAGAGTTCCAAGTATGACAAAAGTTGACTGAGAATACTTAAGCCCCGTGCAAACGGACGCAACATTATTGGATGTTACATGTTCGGTTTCTTTTTTATACTTAAACTGATGCCTCAGTTTTTAACAGGGGTTTGTCCTGTGATTTAGCTAGTAAAGTTCAAACTGGGTGACTCTATCACGGAGCCACAAAGGAGTATTCCCCGAAAGATGGACCGTTAAAGGTAAGTGGACTAAAGGCCACTTGAGGCCTGGGGTCAGTTTCTCCAAAGTCTCGATAACTTTTCGGGCACGAAATCAAATATCCAAATCGAAATAGAAGAAAAAGAGCGCTGGTCCTTGCTAACAAAATACTCCATTTTGTTTCATTAACTGATAGTTTTGTCATGTTAGACGCAAAACTATTGAAACTTCTATCTTGCATGTAAACAACAACAGCTTCACGGGCCCGTTAAATATCGGGACTTTTGAAAAACTGGCTCCTGGCCTTTTCTGTATGTTTTTCGATGGTGTTGGGTCGGGTTTGAAGAAGTTAAATTTTAGTTTTGGTCATTTACGCGATTCAGCACCATCCAACAAGTAGGACGAGTCTCCATGTTTGTATGATGATGGTCAATCATCATGATTAACGGTAGACATTTTTGGTTCCGTCTCGATAACATAAACACCTTTAAATTATTTGGCTAGCTGCAGCACTTGGAAGCTAAACAGTAAACATTAAAGTCCTTCGCTGTTTTACATTGGCCAGCTGACGCTTTCGCTCGGGCTCTACATCTAGCTTGGGGCAGGTGGTTCGCGTTTGTATTGAGGAGGCCTGTATGAACGTAGGCTCAGTCGCCTCGATGCGCCAGGGTCGGGAAACCGTGCTTAGTCATAAAAGGAGCCCATAATCAGGTGGGAGAAACTTCCACGTTCTCGTTTCACGGCGTTTTCAAATAGGTTCTTAAAACAGATAAGTGAGCGAATTTAGAATATATTTTAAGTCTCACAAACAAGTCGGCAAAACCCAAAGACCCGTAAATGGTATTTTTGACCTTTAGTTTACCCTTTTTCACATCTTGTACCTCGATTGCGCTCACAGACGGAGCGGAGGTTTAGAAAATGTGCTGTAAAGAGTGTCTAAATGAAAAAAAAACCGGTCTGTAAAAGCGCTGTGACAATAATGACAGCCAAAGAATAAATTCCTTTTTGTCCATTTTACAATCTACTTCACTGTTTAGTAAGACCATGTGTCAAGTGCTCGCTTACCGGAGGTTGAAAACAAGAGAAAATTCTATAACTGTCGACCGAAAAAGTGATCACGGTCGCTTACGAGTCTTGTCTTGGGCTCTTGGCCTGGTATGAACGGGTTTTGATCTGACTGTACTTTCCTTTTTCTTAAATACGTGAATCACAAAATCGGATACTCATGTCGCTGCATGTTCCCTGTTTTTGTTTTTCACTTTCTCGGAGACTCAGTTTTTCCAACTCAAACTGACCAGGAATATGAGAAATCCGCATTTTGAAAACGATTAAAGCTCAGTTTGACTAAGTTTTTCGGTTACCTGAATCGGCATTGATTAATAATACCTTAATATTTAACAAATCGACCACAATTTTCCATGGTCTACACTCTTATAGACCATAGAAATGACGTCATAAAATGTTCAACACTCAAGTGGAACAATAAGCCACAGGCGAGTGGTTTCACTGCAAAGTTTTGAACATTTTATGGCATCATTTCTGTGGTCTATAAGAATGTAGAACATGAAAAATTGTGGTCGATTTGTTTTTACGATAACATATATTTTTTACGAAAAACCAAAAGCAAAACAACCGGCACTGTGTGACATGTTACGTCATTTCCGTGGTCTATACTCTGATAGACCATAGCTCTCGACCAATCAGCGCGCGAGGATTCGCTCAGTTATTGTAAAAGATACTTATAAAAATTAAGGAATAAAATTGGCTGTTGCAACCGCTATAAATACTACTAAAAGCATAGATATTTTAATGCAGCAATGTTGAAAAATTCACTCATTCTTCAAAGAGAGTTTACGAGAGTTAATTACAGTTAAGATCACATAGCACTGGAAATTAAATTCAGATTGGATGCCTGAAAAGTTTCCAACAAGGTGACTTGAAAAGTTCCAGTAAAGCTTCTCCAGATTCTAGTTCTCGAACTCTTCTTTGTTGTCGTACAGCACAAGACTTTGAAAGATCGAGCAGGCTTTGAGCGGCCACAAGCTCTACAGCAGTATAATTCGACAACAAAAGAACAGGCATTGACAAACTCAGTAGTGCCTGGGCAGCGGTTACCTCCTCGGCGGTGTCCATTCTGCGCATTCTCTGTGCTGGCTTGTCACGATTGGTTGACACAATCGAGGGAAAATCCTCACCATTCTTCCTTTTCTTTACAGACGCAGAAAAGTCGCTACTGTATTCAGCGTTTCTCTTTCTCTTCTCAGCTCTTCTCGCGCTATCGTTGCTCGAATTGAGGCTTTGCGCGACCCTCCGTGCCAACTTTTCCTTCTCTACAGGTGTCGATCTTTTCTGACAATTTCCCTCTATTTGCACTTTTCTTTTGAGTTCGGCTCTTTTTTCAGCCGCTCTTCGAGGGATTTCTTCATCTTTCTTGAAACAAGGATGTCGGAACTTTTGCACCTTTGACAATCTTTCACTTAACACCTTTTCAAATCCCATTTTCACAAGTTCATCAACAAAACTGGGAAAGTCTTTAACGTTCGGTAACAGTTCTTGCTGCTTATTTTGCAGAACGTCTCTTTCAAAAAGTATTGGACTGGTTATTAACAGCGTGCTTCCTCTATCGCCCCATCTGATACAACGCCAGAATTCTCCAGAGTTGATCACAGCGGCGAGTGAGGAAAAGAATCCAAATTCAAAGTTCGATTTGCCATTCTTCTTCTCTTGACTTCTGTATCTGCCATTAACCATCTTGGAAAACTTGAACTCGATGATTTTTTTCAGTCAAATAGCTCAGCCAACTCGCAAGAACTGCTTTCAACAAGTTAGAACAAAGTGACTGCTTCTGTGATGTAACAATCGCGCAAGAAAGCGCGCGCTTTTCATTGCGCGCGCAGTAGAACGCGTAACTTCAAGTGCTCGTTTGCAGCAAGGGTTACAAGAGAAGTGAAGAAATTTCCTTGCAATTAACCCCGTGATTTGCTGTCGATTCGCCCGACGGCATTCGCCTTGACTTAAGTCGATTCTCTCCATGGCATACAACACTCTACAACACGCTTAACATTCCCATCAGAGTTGTTACTTTAGGTATGCTTGGATTCCATTTGTGCAGTCACTGTCTTTTCACGCTTGTTCTTTGTCAGGCTAAAGAACGACAAATACACACCGGGCGAATCAACTCAAGTCCAGGCGACTTGCCGTCGGGCGACTGAAACGACCGGATACCCGGTTGGTGTGGACTTCTGAAAGTTGTTTTACAGTTTGTGCTGTCCTCCAAGACCTTCCCCGGGTATCCTGCGATCAACTGGCCTTCTTCCCCTGGGTAATGGGCTCTTTAAAATGGTTACGCTTTCCTTCGGCGTTTTGATGTAACCTAGAAACGAGGTCCGCTTTTTCCTATAAGCGCGGCGGGAGTGCTTTTCATTTGCCCTTATTTTCACTTTCTTTTTCTAATCGGAGGGAAGGAGTGCGTAAAACAAAGTTTTTTTTTGTACTTGCCAAAGCGAGTGATCCTAAGGGCAACTGACCTGATTGGATAGCCAATCAGAACTTAGGATATGCCTCGTCTTGCCTACTCACAGAGCCAGCCATGTAAGAACTCTGCTTACTTTTTACTGTTTTTGGTTTTCAATATCTGACAAAATAGCTCGCATTTTACCCGCTTTTAAGCAGACTAGGCCAGTCAAGTATATTCACACATGTTTAATCAAAATATTATAACAACACAATATTGAAATAAGCCTGTTTACAAAATTATATCTGCAAGAACGTCTAGTTCTATCACTTTTTAAAACAGCAGCAAATGCACCAAACATGGTGAAACCAGGACGACTTGGCCACATCATCTGAAAAAGTTAAAAAAACAGAACATTTCTCCTCAAAGAAGTGTTAATTAATTTTTTCTTGTACAATTCATAGCCTCCAATCTGCATGGGAGGTTAGATATACAATTAATTTTATCTAGATACATTATTCTCTACTATTGTAGTGTTTGACACACATAATGATAGTCTTCAAAATGTAGATGACTGGAAACTATTTGTCTTGCATAAAGAGAAGGCGTTTTTTTTCACATTTTACACATTTGACAATTTACTGCCCCAGTTCCTGATCCACACACCATCTTACAAACATACATGGTTGTGTATATAGCTTTTTTTTCTTCTTTTTCCCTGAAACGATTTTATTAACTACACAGTCACAAAATATAGACAGAAGAGAAAACAAAAAACAAACAAAATAAACTAACTAGCTAACTAATCAGCTATATACATGCCCATCTTACAAACATACACGTACAAGCGTGTGTATACAGTTGATTCAATAAACTTTGCTTTAAACTTTAAAACTCACTGCAACGATTTGCTTCAGTGACTGCCGAACAATAGCTGCCAGTAAGCCCAGCGAATCAGCTATATTCATAAAATATCTTTGCACAGGTACAACACCTTTCCTTCAGTCACACAAAATTTTGACAAACCTTGTAAATTATGCTAAACCAAGTTCTTCTGGAGTAGACAGACCCAACTCATCTATAGTGGGCTTGAGTTCCTTCAGAATGTAGTTGTAAATCTCACTGTTTCCAGCACTTTTGGTTTTGACAGATTCTAGAATCCTTACAGTCATGGAGAAGTCATCTAAGCGCCGACAAGCATGGAGCATTGCAATGAGGATCTTTGGTTCCGGAACCAAGTCTTTTCCATACAGCTCATTTAATCCATTGCGCAACTCCCATGCATCAATGTCTGGTCTACAAAAATTAAAGAAAAAAATTTACTTTCTTTTTTCTTTTCTAACCAGAAGGAATCTTTTATGCACCTATCAATGTAATGCCGGCGGGGGGGGGAGGCAGGGCATAGGGTGGGGATTTGACTTTTTTCAAAAATTTGCAATCAAATTCCCTGCCCACGGGCAAATCATTCCAGTCAAATCCAACCAAATTTCCCCACCCCAGGCTGCACATTGCTGTCAATCCCAAGGCAGAACCTAAGAAAGGCACAATAAAAATATCTCCAATTAAACTCTGCAATCTTTTATAAACGTTGCTGCATCACTAAAGATATATGTTCCTGTTACAGCTGCAATTATACGTTTTAACCATAATCCGTGTTACACTGCGTAGAATACATAAACCTTTAAGAGAAAGTCCACATTTTGTAAGTATAAATATACCGTTCTTATTAAAGGGTAAAAAGAAAGTCAGTTTTATAAGTTTACAGTGATTGTAGCGAATGAGCCATACATTAGTCAATTGTACTTGCAAAAATCGACTTGGTTTCTCTTCCGTTTACTTTGATACCACAGTATATTTAGTTAAGAGGTTCAATTGATCAAAAACACGCTAAAACAAACGAAATTTGAAGACAAAACAGTGAAATCCACTCAGCCTTCGCTTGTTCGCATTGGCCTCCATGACTTCCTGATCTTTTCAAACCGTATGGTGCATGGGTGAAGCGTGGAAGGGGGAAACATATGTTCGGTCTCAGTCTTTTTCGTCCGAGTCCGCAGTCAAATATCTCCATGTCGGGTGAAGAAAGATTCAAATATCCCCTCCCCCGGGAGAACAAGATGAGTCAAATGCCCTACCCCAGGGACAACAAAGACAATCAAATCCCCACCCCATGCCCTGCCTCCCCCCCCGCCGGCATTACATTGATAGGTGCATTAGAAGAGACAACACAACAGATTGAGAATGGAGATTAAAACCATGGTCTCAAAAGTAGGCAATGTTACAAAAACTTAAACAACACACAAATTTTATATTTATTTTATATTTTTTTTAATGTGGCTAAATGTAATTTAGGCAAAGTTAACCTCGAAGCAATGCTGGTCAGCTGTTTCCCCAGCTATATTAGGGGTGACCCGATGTCTCTAGCAGGGGCACCTCGTGACTCATATACGCAGTTGCTTGCTTGCAGTTCTTCGCAAAGTGTTGTTGCAATTGCTTGCTGTTTGCGTGCCAGTTTGCGCTTTGGTTTTTCCCATCCCTCCCTCCCTCTTGGTGTGGGCTAGGTAAGTATTGGGTCGGTAAGTATTCCACTGAATTGTTCAGTGTGACGATGCCTGGTGGGGGCCGCTCGTAGGGTTGCCATGGATACCTCCTCCTCATGCTAGAGCATTGCCCGGCTCCACCAACTTTGAAGGCACCAACGCCCAAGCTCATTTATTGGTGATGAGTTTAACTAATTATCATATTTTTTGCCCATTATTAATTACATTTTTACAACTGTTCTTATTACTTGATATCTGCTATTACAATGCAATATAATGGCAGGAGATCTCAGCAAGCTCTATTGAGCTTTTCTAGGAAGAAAACAGAAAATAAGATCTTTAATCCCATAACTGAATATTCGCCAAGTGTACAAACCTTGTACAGCTACTGCTGGCATTGTGTTTTTATTTGTCAAGGTAGAATGGTTTTCAATCAATTCAATAGCCAAGTTAAGTGGACCAACAACCAAAACTGGACAGATGAATCAAATATTTTTGTGTAAGATGTGTCTAAGAGGAGAGTTAACTGTGTACAAATAATCTTACCTTTCAAAATAAGCTTTCCATCTGGCATCAAATGCTTCATCAGACTCCTTTGGTTTGCTACTCATCTTGCGCACAGCAACACCTGATAAAGTAAACAATACAAAGTTAACCAAGTCCTGTGCTCAAACAGCCTCCCATGCAGGCATTTTTAGGGGAGCTGGTATTTCGTCCCTCCCCACAAATGCCTGCTTAAACAAAAACAACATTCCTTTCCCAAGCTTAGCCAATCACATTGTGCCTTCCAAATTCTGGAAGGTTGACCTTGACCACAGGGTAACCCAATAATTACTTGATCTGCATGAAACACTGGAAAAGTATTATGACCTCTAATAAGGGCTAAGACTCAGAGAGGCAAAAGTAAGATTGAGTCAGATTTTAGAATAGTCCGTGTACTGCATAACTTTAGCAAAGGAAAGAAAAGAAGGAAAAAGGTAACTCTACACCACCACGAGCTTATGAGTCGTGTTTAGCCTGTCAACACTTTTTTTCAAAACGGTTGATTGATCACTTACCAAGAGAACAAAACAATGGGAAAGGAATGATTGTTGTTCTCGGTGGAGCAGGCGTTTGTGAGAAGGGACGAAATGCAAATTCCTAAAAATGCCTACGTGGGAGGCTATAGCCTGCGAAAACAGCCGTTTCTCCTCGCTCTTCGCCGCCGGGGACGTTTCGCGAGGAGGAACGTCTGCGACTGAGCTGCAGAAATTCCATACTGATGACGCAAACCAATGTTTACATAACAAATCCAGTAGTCATGGGGTTTTAAATATAGATTTGTCCAATTTTACGTGTCTTCTGGTCGATTTTGGTAAAGTGTTGAGTTCATCTGCCAACGAGCTCCAGCAAAACTCAAATGCTTCTTCTACAGAAGACTATATTCCACAAATATTGACTGTTTTGTTAGAGATTCTTCGCGTTTACATTTGACCTTTGTGGCCTTTTGTCTTTTGTCTGTCATTCGTAAACAATAGCTAAAACAATGTAACTACTCCGTCGACCAATCAGCACTTCTGACTGGATTCCGAACAGATTTTACGTCATCAGTATGGAATTTCTGTCGCTGAGTCGCAGACGTTCCTCCGCCCGATACGTCCCCATCGGCGAAGAGCGAGGAGAAACGGATGTTTTTGCAGGCTAGGGAAGCTATTGTACAAACTACAGATTAACAGTAACAACAGCTAAAAATTGGGATACAAGGTTGATGCCGATGGCTGTTTTATACAGGTCAGAACACACTGGGCAAAATGTTGCTGCAACACGTTGCGGTAACAAACCATTCCTTGTGTACAGTTTGGGTGACAACTTGCAGCAATAAGTTGAGACAAGTTGTCCTAGTAAAAAATTACGTTGTGTATTCTGGAGAATTACTGGGAAAATCTCTGTCTTTAAGATGAGCCACACAAATTCAAAATGATTTTGTGTGACTTGTGAAAATAACAAAATTGTGTTGTGAAGACAGAGATTTTGACAAAAATTCTCCAGTATACATGAGGCGATTTGTCAATGCAACGTGTTGCAGGGTCACATGACCTAGTGTATTCCGACCTTTACTATAAAACATGAGGTGACAAAGCAGGGTGGGCGGGGGGGGGGGGGGGTAATTCAAACTGAAAATCTTTTGAGGAACAAACTAGGTAGCCGACAGACCCGCTTAAACAATCAAGGTTCACAGTATTGCTGCAAAGACTGCAAAGACTGCTTACTGAAATTTACTTAGATTTGGACACAGATAACCTAGCCTCGATCATGTCCACATGAATGTCAACCGAGAAAACCTTCAGAAAGCTCTGTACTTCTGTATTATAATTCATAACCCTGTTTAAATATTACTGAAATGACTTTCTTGAACAGAACCAACCGGTACTTATATTGATTAGTGCGAGCGAAAATTAACCTAAGTAGGTGTACGATTTGAAACAAGTAAAACACTGTTAACGATTTTAACAGAAGCTAAGCAAAACTTACCCAGTGAGGTTGAAGAACCCCTTAAGTAGGGTGAAACTACTCTCCGAGCCGCGCAACGAAGCATTTTCACTTGAAACTTCTACCACAAGACTGTCTCTTCCCTGAACTGAATAATATGGCGACCGGCAAAAATTGCCCAAGAATCTTTGCGAGTCTATTTTCACCGCTAAAACTCGATACTGCAGGCGCAGAATTTAGAATATGACATTTCGTGTTTCGTGCAAGCTGGCGCTTTGACCGCCTGTCAAGATCTTTTCTTGGCTTCTTTGAAAGTGGAAACATGCTTTTCCTGCGCAAGATGTAGGGAGAATACTTAGAAATTTCTTGCTCAAACTTAAATGAGCAACACTGACGAGGAAAATGAGCTTGATGGCCAATGTGACGTTGATGAAGTGAGTACAGTGCATAGTATTACTAATTTATGCACCCCACTTCACCCGTAATGCCTTAGTATCGATTGGGATTACTTGTATTTCGACATTTATTGTACTTTAAAAACCTCTTTTGAGTCCGTAACGCTATAAAATACCTAAACACATTCATGAAATCTGAGGAACCCTGCACCTCAGATCCTGATGTCCTTATCAGTGGCTCCTCTGGATAAGGCTGTCACCAAGAGCCCGGAGCCGAGGATTTCCCCCGGCTACTATGACCGTGAGCCCCAGCTACTTTCATAGGAAACAACAGGAAAATAGAGCCAAAAGTACTTCCTAGCTGGACAATTCCCCTCTTACTAACTGAGGGGGGCATTGGGATTTTCGGTTTTGCGGTTTTGGCTATTTTTTAGATCGGTTTTTCGGTTTTTGTTGCAAAAGACCTCGGTTTTTCGGTTTTGGTGGTCATTGTGGTTTGTGGATTTTTCGTTTTTTAGCATCTGGTTTTCGGTTTTCCTGAAAAATACTAACGGTTTTTCGGTTTTGGTACCCGATGTGGTTTTTGTTTTTTCCTATTTTGGGTTCCGGTTTCTGTTCGATTTGAGCAGCACTTGATCTCGAACAGCCGCGAAACGCCAAAGTTATTTAGAGGAATGCGTGACAAATAAATTCATGGTAGGGGATCAAGCGTCTCCCTTGACGCCCGGCGAGACTTTGACCTCGCAGACCAGGGCGACCATTTGGTCAGTTTGCGAGCTATGGCTTCCAACGTGCCTCCCACGCCAGCAACGGAAGAAGCCATTTGTTTGGTTCGCCATTGCAAAACTGTACTTGAAGAGCATGCATATCAAATATGTGCTGAGAGTAACATCACTGACGCCCCAAATGGTCCCCAAGGTCATGTCTCTGCAAAAACAGTAAACTCTGTCCAATTAATTGAATGGGGACTAGGAAGACTAGCAGGCATTCTAGGAGAGTATGACTACAAAGCGCCTGATCTTTTAAGCTGTATGACTTTAGACGTTGAAAATTGCCATGCCACTGTTCATTCCAAGAAAGTGAACGTGTCTAAGCTCAAATATGCTAGGTCGTTTGGTGCAACAATGAAGGAGAGCATCCGAACGTGCTACAAGCTGGGCTGCGTACTATCACACCAGTCGAAGGTCCTAGTACCCAAAGCCCGACACAACGTATTCTCTTCATAACGTACCGTTGATGATGCCTCTGTCCATTGTCAGCCTTCCTGCAAATGACTGTGACCTCTTACGCAACTGGGCCTCAGCATATGGTGCTGCAGTAAGACAAAGGACAGTGCGGCAGGAAACTACAATGGCTAAGCACGGAACATTGCCAGAGTATCTTTATCAACGCCATCTCGAAGTTGGTGATAAGGTTAATCTGAACTTCGGAGTTGATGAAGATGAAGGACCCCATGAAGATCTGAACGAGCGTTAAGTGAGTGAGGAAGCTAGTGTCTCTAGCGAAGGCCAGCAAGAATTTGATGAAAGTAGTGACGAAGAAGTTGAAGTCAGTGCAGATGACAACAATTCTCAGGGCCAGCAAGATGAATTAGGGACATCGATGAATTTTCTCTTTGGTACAAGGTCGCGATATGGAAGGGCAGTGAGGTTCAATAATCGACTGCTGTTTTGAGTATCTGTTGATTACCACATTAAACCTTAGAGCAAGTTCCTGCTGCCATGTAAAACTGAAAAGGAACTAATCGTACCGGTTAGCTTCCTCAGTGTTGACTCAGCTCAGTGCAATCGCATGTTAGACAATCGAGTCTCCAAACTTTCAGGTGTTAGTTATCAAATGGAAATGTTCGATTAGAGATTTTCGATTGAAGTTTCCAGAGCTATAGCTTTTTGCGACTGCAAAATTGCAATTCTAAAGAGGACTTGTGTGCAAATTCTCCTAAGTTAACTAGGCTCCATAACTAGCGTCTTTTCGGAAATTGAGCCGCAAAGTCTGGGCTCGAGAGAGCGGCAGAAACAAAGCCTATGATTTAAGCAGACACAAAAAGATACGAAGGCTTCAGACAAAGTCCATGACATTCACAAATACTTTGGTGAAATTAGTGTTAGTTTAGTTTGCTCTGTATGCCCCACTTGTCACCATTGTATCGGGTTTTTGACGGTTTTTTTGTATGCGGTTTTCGGTTTTGGCTGAATTTTTTTACGGTTTTGCGGTTTTGGATGATTTTTTCCTTCGGTTTTGCGGTTTCTAATACACCCCAATGCCCCGCTCCTAACTGCACATACCCAACAACTTGAAATTTTAGCGACAGCGTAGCGCTGTCTGGGCCTGCCAGTTTTCCAGTTAGCTCTGTTACCTTTAGTGAAGGAGGTTACACCCTCTCCTGATCACAAAATGATAAAACTTCTAACATTTGATAACTTGTCTCTGCCACTTCGACATTCTCGCTAAAACTCATAGTAGATTGACGACGGCTACCATGTTTTCCACGGTTTTCCCGCCAAAATGACACTGGTTCATGCGCAAGCACTAGTTTCTCATACTCGTTGCCGTAATCATCTTAGAATCTAAAGCTACGTATTTCTTACTTCATACTACAAGTCTTGTTATTTTTCTCTTAGAGAGATCTCCAGTGGTCACCCTTTAAGGAATACAATCACCTGAGTGCACTTGGGATAAATCTGGATCGTGATGTTGTTAAGTCAGTGATTGAAGACGCTTTTCCGGCTATTGATCAAGAAAAGGGGAAGCATGTAGAACTTAAAAACTTTTCTTCGCAAGAACGTGTGCCAGGGTTGTTTTCACTTCTTTATGACAGTGAAAGTTGCTGTAGTGGAAGTATTTCACATGGAAATACCTGCGGCCGAACAATGGCAGCTGAATGCATAGCAAAAAGAGAGGTTGCCATGTACAAATGGAAAGGACTTCTTCAAAGCTTGTTCCAAACAAAACCTGTTGGACTGAGTGAATTAAAATGGAGACAACACTTTTTTGAAGTACTTTCCTTGATTCCAGTGGACGATAAAAAATTGTTGGTTTCAAACAAGAAACTTTGTTCAGTGTCTGACATATTGGGTGGCAATAGTGCTGGTCAACCTGATCCGATATACAGCAACTTTGGAAGGCTTAGGAATGGCTTTTATGTTTCTTCAAAGGGTGTGGTGTTTTCCAGTGAAACTGAGGTTAGTATAAGTTGTTTATTCAATAAACTTTAAATTAGGCTCTGTTTGCATTGCGACAAAAAAAAGAGTTTGGCAGTTGCAAAAAAACTGAAAATTTTGTAGTTACCAAGTTTTTGTTTTTGTAACCTTGTTTGCACCCGAGATACATGTATGCAAAAGTTTTTGTGTAACCAAAAACGTTAATTAAAGGAAATTGTTGTGTTCTCAAATCAAGAAACAAAGGATTTCGACACCTGACAAAAAATTGTAAGCCTCTAAATAATAATATTCCTGACGGCATCTTTGAAGTTTGCTGACACTTGAGAAAATTCTGGTACAGTGTAGGTGAAAAACATTGTTTACACTAGAAATGGTTTCCTGTTAATAGATTTTTTTGCAAAATTTTATGTAGTGTGAACAGGGCCTTATAGTGTTACCTGTTATAATGTGTGGACACCAACGGGACACTTGCTTGCTAATGCCCACTGCTTGACATGGGTTCATGTCAGATGGGTTTGTGGAAAGAAAAGTTTGTAGCCTGTGAATACAGCTTCCTCCTGTTGCTGTTTTGTTTCACCAGAGGCATCAACATTTGGCTTTAAAAACTAGGAAATGAGTGCTTCTTGGTAGAAACATTATTGTACATTAATTCTGTACATGTGTATTGGATCTCTGTTGCCTTGCATCCTTTGTCTGCCAATGCAGGCCCGCAGGTCCAGGTTTTTTAAGGAAAGGTGTGATGTGAGGCATTTTGAGCATTTGAAGGCAGAATGAAAAGAAATCAGCAACCAAAAGCAAAACATGGATATTCTGCAAAATTTTTAAACTTGAAAATTGATTTCTTGGCAAAGAGACTACTATGTGTACATGTATGTATTTTAAAATTATATTTTGAGAATGACAATGGCAATATAATGTCACTGTTTAAAAAGAAGAAATAGAAAGAAAGTATTAAATCTGATTATTCACTAGGGTTTGCTGCTGATCATCATGATCTTTCAGTAGTGTGCCAAGCAGCAAACAGATCAGCAATTTCTTCCACAATGATCAATGTCTGTTAGATAGTACATGCACGTCATATTTCTCTAGTTACGTGAAACCAGTGAAATGTGACCCAATGAGAGCACCCTGATGGGCCACTCCTGCCAGGGCATCTGCTTCCCAAAGCCCAATAATCCATGACTTTTAGATTTACTTTCAAGATTTTTATATGAGGAAACTTGGTTCTGATAAATGCTGCAGCCAGAAAATCTGCACTAATAGCACTTACAGTTTCTGTTTGAGGTAGTTTTCGAACAAAGGGAACTTATGGATTGACAAAATCTTGGGATGGCCTCTCTTCTTGCTCTCTTGGGCCCAGTTTCTCCCAAACTATGTTAAAGACTGTTCAACTGTTGAAAAATTGAGAACATTATTTTGCAATAATTACATTGTGGGCACAGTATTGCTTATTAATTCACTGTGTTTTAAATCGAAAAAGTGATCCTCTGGATGGGGAGGTTGTGAGTCCACCCATTGCACAGTTGTGATACAAAGTTTTTATAACACTAGCAGGACAGTCTTGCATATCAATGACTCCATATTAGGAAGTAAATTTTAATTGGCTCTCTGAAAGACTCATCATTGGAACAGGCTCATACACTTCAGGGTTATATGCTTCTGGTTCTGGTGAAGCTTGTTTGCCAAAGAATACAAAACACGTCCTTAGTGGCAAGGAGCAAAGAGAGATGGTTGTTTTCGCAGGCTATCATTGAGGGTGTACACACAAAAGGAAGTTTTCCCTTTTTGTGCAGTTAACCTGTCTTGTTATTTAGGTGAAACTTGTGTCCTTACTTATTTTTTTTAATACATGTGCCATAATTTTAATTTTAATAATGCTTTGTTCAGTGCATTGAATGGTGTAGGGCCCGTCAAATTGCGGGGGAAACACTTTAAATAACTAGTTACAACAGTTGTTTCTATTAGATATACTGCCATTAAATAATACAAATGTATATCTACAGTTGCATAAGAAACCATTAATTTTAACAGATGATGCAGTTTAATACAAAAATGGGTGAAATGGATGAAAAGCTTAAGTATGAACTGAGTGTGATCCAACACCAACATAACAAACTTAAGGTAATTAACTGGAATGAGTAATGATATTATTGAGATATTATTATTATTATTATGTGTAACAGGGTTAGAAGTCTATCATAATTTGAAAAATATGCCTGATAATTTGAAGAAAAAATGTTTTGAAACCATGTAGAGGTATGCCGTGTTTTTGTTCCCCGAGGCAGCAACACGAAATAAAATTTTCTATCAGACAGTAGGATAAGCCATCTCACCAGGGTTTAAAATGCAAAATTTCAAGGCTCATTTTCAAGCTCTTTCTGGGAAAGGGCTTCGCTCTTTCAAAATATTCTCCTGTCACTTTACACTCTTCTCCTGCTACTGCAATTCTTAATGAAACCCCTGATTACATGTACATGTATGCAGATCTGTTTAGTCCTGGTTAGAAAATTGAAGTTTCATGGCTTCTATTCCAGCATTTTCTACAATGAAAAAAGGTGTGGCCTTTTTAATGTATATTTTTCTCTGGATCTAAAACATGAGGTTTACAAAATGATGCTTTGGCGTGTGGAATAATAATTATTATTGACCCCTGATCTGCCTGATTGAATGACAGATTGTCCCTTTGATCATAGGCTAACATAGAGCAAATTGAAAAACAGTGATTGGCAAATCTATCACTCGAACAAAAGAAAGATATACTCCTTCACATTTGTCTTCATGTAGTACAAAAAAATGTACATATAGTTATTGTTCAGGGCCCAGTTGTTCGAAGGCCGATTACTGCTTAACCCAGCGTTAAATTTAACCTAGATTTCTTTTTCTCTTGTTCAAAAGCATTTTCTCGGATAATTTTCTATTTTTAAGAGCATCCAATCATCAACTTGTTGACAAAAAGAATTAAACTGAATTTCCTTTTCTACCTGAATTCAAATTTCAAACTAACCCTGAGTTATCTTAACCCAGCTTTGAACAACACAACCCAGCGGTATAAATTTACCTAAAGCTACATTTAGGCTATCAAGAACCACTTTCCACCAGTTTTGTGGATAAATTGCCATATTCATTTGTCATCTCAATACATTCAGATTATTTTACACCATGTGATTTTTTTTTATATTTCAACTTAAAGGGAGAAACATGTTGTTTAAGTGATACAGCCGTGATTATTAATGTGACTTGAAAGATAGAAAAACACTGAAGTGGCTTAAACCTATGAAAAATAGCTGGCATACTCAGTATTCATTTTTGATTATTTTTACACTGATTGCATAGCATTAATTTTTATGCCTGTCTGACACATTAAATTTTTATTGACTTTGTGTAAATTGAAGTGTCACATTCTGACAGTTGGTTTAAATAATAAATTTTTAAAATCATGCAAAGTGATAAATAGGGGTTATCGTTTTGTGGAATTTCACATTTTTTAGTTTTCTAGTGATAATAACAATCTATCAACAGTCATTGGCGTAATCTTTGTAGACAACAAAAAATTGCTTCATGCCTGTATTATTTTATACATATTTTAAGAATTTTCCTTTTTTAGACTCTTATCATACTCTACTCTGTTTTGATGAACAATAACTACATGCAGATTTCATGCAATTTTTTGACACTTTCTTTATTTTAATATTATTCTGACCTGTGAAACCATTGCAAAAACCTTGTGGTAGAAATTATTCTAAAATTTTTATGAGAACATCTTCAATTTATAATCAATGATAAAATTAACTGTCAAGAATTGTCATTTAAAAATAATTTTATATCCATCACTGTTGGTGTTCCCATGCAAATTTGTTAAAATTAATGAAACATGTTGCCTCAATTCTATTGGTCTCTTCAGTTTCTATAAATATCCTAAAAGACTTTCAACAAACATCACATGAGCTGTTTTGGGTAAACGGCTCCCACTGACAGATAAGAAATTTTACCAAAGTTATATTGTCCAAAAAGCAAAAGATAACAGGAAGAGATCCATTTTATCTGACAGAAATAATAACATTGTTTTCTTCACATATTGTCAGATGTTCTCAGTGGTCCATGACAAACCTTGAAAGCTGTATAAAGGAGGAAATTTAAAATGAGCTAACAGGAAAAGTGTTGTTTGAGTTGGCATGAGAAGAAAGGAGTAAATTTTCATAAAAATTTATTTAGAGGTTTGCAAGTTGCTGACAGAAGTACCCAAGAAAAAAATCTTTCACAAAGCAAAATGTCATCACTAATGGTAGGCATTTATTGTTACATACATGTAGTTATTTGATTTTTCTTTTCTTTTGATATGAATTATTTTGTCCTAGAGGATTACTGTTCCAGCCTCTCAGATACTCAACATGGAAATTTTTTTTCTATACAAAGCACTGTTTAGATAGTAGCAATGTCAAGAAAATGTTAATAACTTTCTAGCTGCATTAGACTGATGTTGTTATTTAGAAAAACAATGAATATGGTGAGTTATCTTTTAACATTTAACATCCACCTGATAACATGCAATCTGAATTCAGACAGAGGTAAAGCACTTTATTTTCATGCTTGTAAATTGCACTGCAAGGTGAAAGTGATGATAGCTTTTTGTATTGACAATAGAAATAACATCATTTATTTAAGAGAGATAAATAATGGTATTATTTGCATTAAACAAAAATTCTTTTTATTAATAACACCAAGAATAATATTTTATTAATGTATGACACTGTTAAAATTAAAAGTATAGTTTATGTTCTTTAACCATCAGCAGAGCTGTCATTGTTATATTGATTAAGAGGTGGGGGCCCTACTATGAACATGACTCCCATCAATTTTTGTACGGGAAAATATAAGAAAATGGAACAAAATAATTAAATCTCTAGCTGTCTGATTCCCTGCCAACCTTGTTGCAATTACCCAGTAACTTGAAATCCTAGTGGCAGCCTTTGCATTACATACAAAGTCATGTACATTGTGCTTTATGAGAATTATTGTCAGCAAGGCATATAGTTATTTTTTAATCTTAGTTGTAATTATGCTCAGCAATATAACAGATACTCCTTTTAACCCATTCGTCCCTGAGCTGCCTGTAACGGCCCTTACGGATCCACGTCGTTTCTACCGCTTGTGACATCATCAGTTGTAATGGTCAAGGACAACTTTGTCCGCTAACTTGTGCAGAGTGAAGATATCTTTCAAACCATACCAGAATGAGCACAATTCAGTCATGGACACCGGAGAAAGAGGCAAAAAAACATGTAACATTGACTGGAAAATTTCCATGAAAATCTTGTTCCACTATCCACCTACCATTTCGTCAAATCCAAAGATCCTACATTTAAAAGCTTTCCTAAAAACTTTTCCCACCAAAATGAAGCCTACTAAATGCCCAGCAAGAGAAAAAAAAATGAGGCAACAAAAGCAAAAAAAGAGGGGAGGAGAGAAAGTGAAAAGTAAAAGTCAAGACTGCTGTGTCACTTTTAAACTCAAAAACTATCTCAAAATTTTGCTTTCTGCGCATGCCTGAACTTCGAAAGCTAATATTGTACATCTGGATCAGAAGGCCGCCAAGTGTATGACCTGTAAACAGCTCTTTATGGCACAATGCAGTGACCAGAAAACCACTCGAATAGCTTCAAAACAGGTTTTCAGCAAAATCTCTGGGGCAAATGGGTTAAACTCAACTGATTGGGCACTCAGCCTAATTATTGGCACCCTTATGTGTATTGTCAACTTCTGTAAAACAACTCTATGACTGTTAAATTTTGTGGAAAGTTAAGAAAATATTGGCAGGGTTGTCACTAAGATTTCAAGTTGCCAGGTAAACACAACAAGTAGGCAGGGAATCAAACGGCTAGGGATTTCTTTTGGTTCTATTTTTCTTCTATTTTCCAATAAAAGTAGCAGGGGGCCACTCTCTTAGTAGCCGGGGAAAATCCCCGGCCCCCAGCTCTTAATGACAACCCTGATTGTGTGTTCGTTGCTAGCTTTAACAAGAATGGAATATTGAATTTTGAATTCCCCAGGCAAAATAATGCTAAAAAAGGAAAACTGGAAACCAAAAAAGACACGAAAAATGAAAAAACGTTTTTTGGCTTATATGCAGGGGAGTTTAAACCAGACTGAAAAAAAGCATCTCAAAACAAGCAGTGCTGATCAAAACACTTTTTGAATTTACTCACTCTTTTGAGCTTTTAAATGTCATAAAAATCAAATTGAATTCAATACAACAAGGTGCAAAGAAAGTCAGTTTTACTGCTTGCCATTTGGGCTAGCTATAGCTAGCATGTACTAGCCCAAAAGTCATTTTAACTTAGCCCCAAAAAGTTTTTGATGAGCCTGTTTGATTACACAGTTCTTCTGTAATCTGAATTCTTTGAAAAATGTCACTTGTTGAAGTTGAGAACCGAATTCACTAGTCTTATAGCAAAATCCACTAGCTCCAGGCTATGGGACACTTCTTTTTTTGCTCAGTGTACAAGCAAGAGGCGGTCTTATAATTGGATGTATTTTTTGTGTAAAAGAATAAAGTATACTGTGTAATCAAGTTTTAAAGTGTAAATTTTATGCCCTCCTTTTATATTCTTCTGTCTTGTTTTTCTTCCTCAGTTGATATTTTGTTCAAAATGCAATGTCATGTTAACCTAGTAATTGGCAATAAATTCCTAATATTTTCATGGCATTCAAATTTGTTTTGAATTTTTCAATTGGGTCAAAATTGTCATGGGAACAAGTTAGTATGCAATCAAGGGTCTCCTGAACTTAGCAAGTTGGCATATCTAATCTCAGCTCTACAAGTCACCAACAGAAATTAGAATACTGACAACTTGAACAGCTGTGTACATACATAATATTTCTGCTTCATTATTTTGATACATTTGAAGAGTTTTTTATTTCATTTATCTCTGCAGATTTATGGTATGGATATTCATCTCTATTCAGAGTGAAAAATTTATATATTTTAATAACCCATTGTCTTCTCCATTGTTGAATAGCTTCCATTTATAAATCCTTCTTTCCATGTACATATTGTTTCTTGTTTATAACATTCAACTTAAACCCACATTTCTTAAAGTTGGATTTTGATTTGGATTATTCCAGATATAATTTATAGAATTAGCACAAGTTGGTTGTTTAATTTTTTTAGATTCAACTCATAGTAGTAATGGGAATATTTCTTTTCATTATTTTTTTCACACATAAAATGAATTCCCTCAGCTAATCTTGTCTGTATATGTATCTATGTAACATACCATAGACTGAACTAAATACTAATAATTTAACATACTGTGTATTAAGTATTTGGTCATTTACACTAGATGAACCATAATAGTCTAAGACCATTTGTTTTTAAACATTCTTGTTAGTAATTTTGCCTTTGTTGTTGTCGAAATTTGATGAAAAATGTTCCAAGCTCCCTTCTTTTAACTGTCACTGTGAGTCTTAAAGGCAGTACTATACAGTTTGCTGGGGTGTAGTCATTCTTTCGATTATTTGTAGGCCTGGCTGACTTTCATTTCCACATATCCTGAAAATTGCACGCATGACTAGTCTGACCTCACCAACACTTTTACCTCTCACCCCAATAATGCATAATTAATTATTACAAGACAGTGATAGAGTGATCAAACCAAAAATTTGTAAGCCCAGATATACAGGTCTATGGGCTGGCTACACCCCTGGTTTGAAGCACTGCTAAGCAGTATAACACTGTTATATGGTAATCGATGGGATGGGTTCATTTAAAACAGTTCAAGATGCACAAGATGTTTCTTCTGGGGATGGGGGAAGTGAAATGCAAAAAATGGAGATCCAACTAGTTTACAGGCACTCAAATGCCTCTACGGTGGCCCGGTTGGGTTTAAATTCCGACAAGCCACATAGCCTTGAAAAAGCAACATGGAGATGGATCAAAAATGTGACAGCGATGAGAAATAAGTTACTGACAGAAATAAGTTACTGACAGTGACATGGCCTCATCTTCAATACGAGAAATGACCGATTTTAAAATTCAGCAGGGACATAACATATCCCCCCTAAAAGGGCCTGTCCGAGGCTTGAGGATACATAACTTGTTTTAATTGTTGATTTTCCAGATAGTTGACAAGTACTCCACACAATTAACTTGTCCGCAGTCATTTAGATGACACACAACCTTGTTTACATAAGTCACAACTGAGAGAAAGTAGACCAACTAGCTCAGCAGAGATCTAGTCAAGCTGAAGGGTGTTAACCAGAAACAAATCCAGCAAATGGCCAGGTCCCATGCCTGACATCATGCTGGCCAATCCCCTCTCCCCCCTCACCCCACAAGCTCCCTTAAGAGTTAAAAGTTGAATTGATATTTTTAGATTATCTCGTTTTTCTGTGAAACTCCCAAAACCGTGAACACCAGAAATATTTATGGAATGTTATTTATTGCGAGAAATAAGCCACTATGGCGAGAGATAACTAAACCGCAAACAGCAACAGTCTTTAGTTTGTGGTTTTGAGGTTTGCTTGGGTATGCTGAACTTTATTGTGATTGGCCAGTACACAATCAACATTCCTGAAATTTTTCAGGTGTTCACAGCTTTCTCAGTTTGACAGTAAGAATGGGTGAGAATCCCAGAACTGGCCTTGAATGTGTTACTCTTTTTATAGGCCAAAGCTGAAGAAAAGAAGCTGCTGTCTCAGAGGACAGAAAGTCATGAAGAATCAGATCATGATGAAGAGATAAGAGAAAACCTGCAATTGAATAAAGAAAGTAATCCTAAAGATAAAGCAGAAAGGTAAGAAGTTAAGGTTAACAACTGAAGTTGGACCTAACACACAACTGATTAAGTAATACCTTGATGGTGATACAGTTGAACCTCTCCTTGCAGACACCTCCATAATACAAACACCTCTATTATGGACAGTTCTCTTGGTCGCAAAGATACCAAACTTTGTACAATCCCTACCCCCATTATACAAACACCCCTTTATTCCGTGGGATGCCTGTGGCACTCCCACGGTAAAAATCCGGTTCGGTTGTACCCAAAATTGCAAAGCCAGCCAATAGGATTGCCTAAAATCTTTATCGATTATCTCTTCTTCCAAGCCGACCAATCAGATTGTACAAAATCTGTATAGATTTTTAATCGATTTGCTTCCTCTGAAGAACGTTGAAATCAGAACGTTCCTTGCCAAATTTGTCACCCTTGCATTTTGCCACTCGTGGGTTAGGATGGCTTGATAACCAGCGAAATCCTCCGGGATACTGGTAAGTCACGAAAGGCGACCTAAGCCAAATTATTTCTTCCCTTCATGACTTTTTTTTTTGTTTAGGTCTAGCTTTTTCATAAGGTTTTAGTAGCGTCTGGTTGCGGGCTATGATTTCCGATAGATTTTTCTATTCGGAGTTCGCCAGTTTTTGCCGAGCACAGCTAGAGTTCAGTTTTTTTCTTTTCTCATCGAAAACACCTTGACGATGGGAGGTTAAATCGCGTAAATTTCAACTCGTACCCTTGAAGATTGGCGGTGAAATCACGAAAATATTGTCTTCTTCGATCGACGACTCGCTTTCGGCATGGATTGGACTTCTGGATGGGACACGGATCAGGACCTTAAAAAACTTATTATACCTTGGAATCAGGGATAATCATTGGAACTATGTTAACTTTGAGACGTTGGAAACACATTGCAATTAATTTTTAACCGTATCAAGAGCATCTTGGAATATTAAACTTTCATCTTGGATTGAAACATTGGAACTTTATCGAACTTTGTAACCCTGGGTTCCACCCTGGATAAAGGAAGCGGATGTTTTGTTTTGTTTTGTTCCATTAACCTAAAACTACAATGTTTATTTCTCTTTGAAAAAGTTACCTGTGGCTACTTACTACCAAGATATGACGTATCTTTATACATATAGTTCCTGTTCAGGTTAATCAGAGAGCATTATGCGCATGTTCTCCATTACTTGTTTCCGTTAACATTCCAATTTAAGTTACACGGGTAAACCTTGTTTTGATGCAAAATAACTTCTTTTTCTTATCCAAATCGTGCTATGAAAATAACTACATAGCGATAGATCAAAACAAGATCAACTCCATCCTTGCGACCACTGACAACTATAAATTTAGCTTGCGTAGCAGGTGTCGAAAGGGGTAGGGGATAGGGAGGAAGCAAAAAGGGGATGTGGATTGGGGAGAAATAGTAGCCTGTCACGCAGGCTACTATAAATTCAGTCATAAGCACATTAAACCAACCCATACAGGTAACCTACTCATCGATGCTCATAACATGACACATCTTTCCGGTTTCCCTAATTTTTCCAAATTCAGATAGAACGCTATTATGCTTCCATAGACCAACGCATCCCACGGAAACGACTTTAGGCGTCTTGTTACAGATAGTTCTCCTTGTCCCCAAGACATCAAACTTCCCAAATTCTCCACCTCAGTACAGACACCTCTGTTTAATATGCAGACAATAATAATATATTGCCTTTGTACCTCCTGCTGTTTTAAGGAATTTTGACTGTACTTCCTTTTGGTAGTTTTTCTTATTTGGGTATCCTGAAAATCTATCCAAAGGCAATGCACTATTAGTAGTCTCCCCCAAATAATGTAGGCTGAGAAAACAGCCAACATTTTGTGACACCACGGCTAGTTTCCCCGCCAAATGACTTTTGAGAAACAAGCACAGAAATTCCATACTGATGATGCGTCACTACCAAGATCTGGGTTGTGCCTCTGATTGGTCATATTTTCGGAAATTTGGTTTAACCAATGAGAAGCACAACCCAGATCTGGGTAGTGATGCGTGCTTGTTTCTCAGATGTCATTTCATGGGGAAACCAGAGGTGGTATTGTGAAATGTCGGCTGTTTTCTCAGGCTACAAAATTAATAATCCCGGTTGCACTCCTCTCACCAAACTGGAACCCCCACTCAACTTAGCGACATCTTCTGTTCTCCCTCACTTTCTCAAAATAGTGCAAAATGTAACAAAGAAATGCTTCTCTTTCATGTCATGATTTTTTAAACTTTGTCTTTACTATTTACCATTTTTTTATTTAAATTATAATAGAAAGAGTGGGGTTTCTTCAGTCTACAAATTGTAACTGACTTCCAGTTACATTCAAACTGGGAAAACCATGAACACCAGAAATATTTTTGGAATGTTATTGTCTTGCAAGAGAAAAGCCAATCAGGCATTAGAAGACTAAACCGCAAGCAAGAACATTATTTTATTTAATATATTAGTTTGTGGTTTTGTGGCCAGTTCGCATATCCTGATGTTTGCTGTGATTGGTCGTAACAAAATAAAGATTCCTGAGATATTTTAAGTGTTCTCAGTTTTCCTGGTCAAACTGTAATATCACTACTTGCAGGATTCCTTAATGTGCAAAATAATGTTATGCAGTAAAAATAAATGGGAAAAAAACCTAGCAAGTGCTTCCCTCAATACAGAACAAATGAAAATAGGCCTCTCTTTTGGCCAAGATTTAAAACAATAAGGAAAACTCTACAGTCTGTATCACATGTATTTATGCAGGGTTATTCCATCGAGCTTCTCAGTCGTCTTGTTTTGTACATGTATTTATGCTAGGATTCATTCTCGAAAGGGGCTCGTCTCGGTCTTACAGTAAACTTTCACCACGAACATTCTATCATCCCGACTAGCTGCCCCTGGGTCTCCGAGGATGGTTAGGATTCAATATTGATATGTAATGACTAAAAATATATATTCCATGTGGTTTGTCTCAGAAAATCTGGCTTATTTGCATCACTGACGGCTTCTTTGAGTGCAGCAAAGTCTGGAATTCAAGGATTTCTGGAGAAGTAAGTTCAGCTTGTACATCATCATGTGTTGGTAGAGAACAAAATAAACTAGTCTCAAAGGAAAGCTGAAAGCTCACAACTGTGGTTCTTATATATATTACCCAATACTAAAGTGTGCCCATTTTGCTTTAAGGTGTGTGATAATCCATGGACTCTGACAGACACAATTAAAGCTAAGATGTTATTTTGTGCTGCTCCAATGTACCCCTTTTCTTACTAAACATTCGGATTTCTGTTAATTTGTCTAGCTTTTCATTAATTTATATAATGTTTGAATAACATTCACTTGTTTTAATGAATTGGCACAACCATTAATGCTAGTGGTCAACATAAAAGACAAACAGTTTTATCAATTGTGAATCGATTCTATATTTTATCTCAAAATGTTGAGTTTGCTTTAAAACTTTAGTGTCAATTTTTGTGGTGTAATCTGAGTGCAACCGTGATAAGTAAATTGCTGCCAAATTTTCCCTTAAATGTCAATATGGGTTTCTAATACGTAAATATCCACACAAAATAATATTCATCTCTCCCCAACAAAGATACTTTGAACCTTGTTATCAGGATAGACTCTTAACCCTTTAAACCCTAAGATCAAAATTAAAATTCTCATTTGTCACTCCTATTCATATACTATAGAAGTGGTGGGGAGAAGTTGATAAAATATCAAGTAAATACATCTTGTATGATCATGTCCATAATTCTCATGACCACTCTATTTTACAAAGCATTGCTATCACAAGGAGAAATCTGACGCTGATCACTCTTAGGGTTTAAAAGAGTTAATGAATGTCGTCATTATCATTCTTTTGTTTTAGGTCTTCACCAAAACAACGTAGACGTTCACCTCGTCCAGTACCCATGGGTGATGATGATAGTGAAGATGAAACAGGAAAGTTGACACAAAGACCAAACTCAAAAGTTCCAACAGTGGATGGAATTGATAATCATGATGAATTTACAAGGTACACCCGCTTTAGAATGATTCAATATTAAATAGATTTTCAGCCTGTTTACAGACCCTCTATTTTCTCTTCAAAGTCCGCCGAGCATGTGCATGATAATAAATAAAAACCACAGGAGATTTATTGACGGCCAGTGCAAGGGGGTATGAAAAGAAAAATAAACAATGTCTGTGTACAGGTTAATAGATTTTCTCTGAATGTGTCAGAAATAAAGAGATTTCAAAGTGTAGTTGGCAACCATGCAGTCACCTCTCTACTGAAACAACTTGCCCCCTTCCCTGGGAAGGGGGTACTAAAAAAAATGTTATACAGGGCGGCTCCGCCCTGAGGTCCAACCCCTTCCCTTTTTTCAAGTATATACCATTTTTGACTGAAAAGGTAACTTTTTATTGACAAATTGTACCCCTCTCACATACTAGTTTAGAATGCTGCATCCCTTTTAACTTCTGTAAATGCACCATCTTTTAAATATGTTGAAATCACTAAACCAGGAAGTTTTCCTGTCTTTTTTCACAGCCATAAAATGCACTTATTTTCTTTTAGGTCCTTTGTACAGACTACATTGACAGATATCCCTAGCCTTAATATTATCGATCTTCATTCTCAAGTGAATTGCTTACCCTTCATATACCTGAATCCTGAAAATACTGTACCCCATTTGGGCAGAGCCTCCCTGTTTAGGGCATTATAGAGAGTACCCCCCCCCCCTCGACCCCCAGACCTAGCCCCACCCATTCAAACGTAGGACAGCACTGCAGTGGAACCTGGAGTCAAGGAACCTCTATAATTATAATGAAGTCCTCGATATAACAAACGATTTTCTTTACCCCAGTAAATAATAAAATATATGAAAAAGAACCTCAATAAATTATAATGAAACCTCTTTATAGCGAACAAATTTTGTCAGTCCTTTGGCCCTTCATTAAATCAAGGTTCCACAGTATCTACTGGTTAAATCACTATCCTGTAGATACATTTTAGCACTATATCTACCTTTTGAACTAGTTGGTTTGTAAAAACTTCAAAAAAATTACCTTGTTTAATACTTGATGACCACACTTTTTAGCACATGAACATGACAGCAGGGATGTCCCTAAGAGCCAGCAGCCGGCCAATTTCACTGGCTGAAAAAGACCCAGTCACCGGCTCAAATTTTCCCAGAAAACAAATTTAATTCATAAAGTAATTTAAAGTACAGTTAAGTAAAAAAGCTGCTTTGACCAACAAAAAAGCGTGTTTGGCTTTTCCTTGGCTACATCCCAGTGACAGTGGAGATAATAAAAGAAAATTCTTGTTACAGTTTTGAAATATCCCAGATCAGATCTATATAGCAGGTGTAGAAAATAAATTTTTGTGATTTTGTTGCTTTATTACATCCCTTCCTCTACACAAATAGCCACTGTGCTGAAAGTCATTTATGGTATACAATTTTTTTGCATTATTTTGTTCAGGGAAATGCAGGCAAAAGGAGGCTTAATGTATGAGAGTGCCAACAAGACTATTCAGCATCTGTCCCATGATGCCTTGCCACCTCCACTCTCTCTCGAAGCACTTCAAGCTGAGGATCAGCCCAAAGAATAGAGCAAAAGTAATTAAGACGGCATACAAATAGAGAGTGAAGGCCAGAGAGGGAGCAGTCATATGCTACAAAAAATTAATAATAATGATGATGTAAAATAACATGTGGAGCTGAGATGATAATATTGTATGTGGAATTGTAGTCTACATGTTTACGTAATTGTACCTTGCGGAAAGTCAATGGGGACCGTAAGCATCAAGAAAGCTGACACCCCGGACGTCAAAAATGGCAACCAGTAGTTTGATTTTTCTCTCTTTGAGTGCTCTGACTCAACAAATTCATGGAGTTAAAACAAAGGCATTCAGATTTGTTGCGTGCGACAGAAGTGATCCACCAAGCGAGACATAGAACTTCCAGTTGCTGTTCATGACATCTGGGGCATCAGTGTTCTTGTTAGTTAAGCTCACTATTTACCAATTTGTGGGGGAAGGCAAGGTCGTTTTGGCAGATTGTAGTGGACAGATGTGTATAAATGAGCTGGAAGAAGATAATGAGGATGATATTGCCTTAAAATCCATTCTTATCAATGATCCTCTACTTATTTATAACAAAACGTCCCCACAACAATTTGCTGCATAAGCATCATATCAAGGTGTTAACAACTGTAATTATGGGAACATTGTCCTCCCACTGCCAGACATTTTATTTGTGCCCCAGAGAGTAACTGAATTCAGCTTGCAAGTGAAAAAATGCAGTATACAGCCAAGAATCTTTAGGCTTCTTAAACACAAACTGTGCATTTTGAAGGGCCACAAAAACTTCAAATGGGAAAGAGATTACAGGTGCTTCTTGGTATTGCAGAAACCTGCATTCATCGGTTCGCTTGTGTTGTGCTGCGGCTATTGTTCAGTGTCTTGTTAATCTTTTGTATTTACGTCATTTGGTGATTAAAACCATCTGCACAACTGAAAAAACATAAACTAGATTATAGACACTGTTGCCCTTTGTACTGTTTATGAAGTGATAATGACTTTTTTTATATATATTTTACCCCAACCACAACCCTCACTACTTTTTTTACCTTTACCTTTTGGTGACAAGTATTGTTTTCTTTTATTATAATAGAGATAATTGCAACCACTGGAAAATGAAACTGTTCATTTAGTAAGACAAATTATGAGAGCTTGTGGATGATGATGTTCAGAAGTGTCTACAGTATAATGAAAAAGTCAGATTATGAATTTTATGATAATGCAATGTGAAAGGGGATGTTTTAAAATAATATTATATTATGTATGGTTGTAAATAGATAAATTTTCTTCTATTATATTACCTGCCTTTATCATTGTTTATTTGATAGATAGTAAAAGGTTAGATTTATGTATTTTAGAAAATGTACATACTGCTAAATAGTTCTCCAGTACTGAAACAATATTATAAAATAATAGGCTATTTAGCAAAGAATACATTTTGAAGAAATTGATATCAGTAGAGTTATTGATTGATGTGTATAATTTATTATTTTATTTCAGAGATTTTAATAAAAGATTGTTTATTTTAGAAGTAGCAAGTTGTCATCTAAGAAACTTGATATTATGCCTATGAATCTATCTACCAGTTAATTAAATTTGATGACAGTGGAAATATTACAAAATAGAATAAAAAGTAAGTTGAACTTCTGAAAAATTTATTATCAAAGTGTTTTGATGTAAAATTCCGAAAATACGCCCCTCCATGTATAGGCCCCTCCAAATATAAGCCCCTCAAAATCATAATGCAAAAAACCCTCCGTTGAATCGACCCTCCAAATATAAGCCCCCCTGGGAGCTTGTATTTGGAATTTGCCCTTGAATACAAAGTAAAGCAATTAAGCAAAATGGTAAATTTCCTTCCCACTGCAAGCTAGCCCAATCGATTTTGAAACGCGAATTTCCCTCCGTACATAAGCCCCTCCGAATTTAAGCCCCTCTAAAAGGGCCTTTGAAAAATATAAGCGCGGGGCCTATTTTCGTAATTTTACGGTATGCAGACCTGTTCTTTACTTGCTAGCACATCATTGAGAGGATAATATTCTAGTAGCCTGTCCACAGACATTTTTCTTGCAGACAATAAATCCCAGCAGTTTGTATGTTCATATGCATGCTTGACGATCTCTTAGGAGAAAATAGAGGATCTGTTCACTTTAGGGTTTGTAGTTAAGGACAGAAAATGGGGTTTTAACCACTGGGTTACAATTCTCCAGAAAACTTTGCATTATTGATCGTTAGATGATTCTCACATGCAAAAAACAGAAAAGAATGTTGAAAAAATAGATATCCCTGCAGGGCCATATTTTTTGCTTAATTAAATTATTGTTTGGTACTGTTTCTGTGGTTGCTTTCATGGTTGCTTCAACCTATAAGTGGGGAACTTGATATTTCTCTTTTTTTACCAGAAGTGCCCCACAAAAACAGATGTTTCTTTCCAATATTAAGCGTAGAAAAGACAAATTACTCCTGGCAGTCTGCCATGATAGACCTTCTCAAGCTTGTAACGTCTTAAATGTGTATTCCCAATTCAGACCACTTAATGTCCTCAAAGAAATTTTCCTTTTGTCTTGTCATCAAATTAATAATAAGCATACACCTGCATGTGGATAGTAAGACATTTGAAAGAAAATGAGACAGTTCTGCGGGTAACGTCACATGGTCTGAAATGAGACTACCAAAACATACAATTCGGGAAACAATGGGACAAGTGTGAATCCTTATATAGCTGGTTACCCTGTGCAAAAAGAGCACCGTTTCACATTTCTGCTTCAAGCTGTTCAAGTTCCTGTTCTATTTCTTCTCTTCTGGATAGCTTCTCTAACTGAGTAGCTTCAGGATTAACTAGTTCTCCAGAGTCAATCTTAGCTTGCAGTTCTTCGATCTGCCGTAATTTTTTCCGCAGATTTTTCAACCGTTTTACTTTTAAATCGTCCGGGTTACTCGTGTAAACCGTTCCTGCTGCAGTGCTGGCCACAGCATTCGAAAGTTGAACACTTTGAATTTTCTCTGTAACACTCGAAACGTCACATTTCTGGTTATCCCCTGCATCTTTCTTTTTGTTCTTTCTCTTTTTCTGATTTTTCGAAAGTGGTGTTTGCTCCTCGTGAACTCCTGGCGGTAGTTTCGGAATACTATCTACCCACTGTTTTCCTTTACTTTCGTATTTTGCTACTTCATCGGGTGGTACATAACCTTCCTTTACTCGCCGAGCTTTTCGCCATGTACCGTCAGGCCGTCTTGAAGCCGGAATCCATGTTTCTTCAGAGCCAGTTGCATTGTCCGCCATTTTGAAGCTCCTCGCAATTTTCCGTAAATACTTCGGTTCATAATCGTGAAAGCTCGTGTAGTCGGATATTGGCTGGGAAAGCCCAGAACCCTTTGCGTTGCGTAATCTTCATTCAAAATGGCGTCCGCGAGTGCCGGTAGTAGGATGATGCAAATAGTTAGAAAACATGTCCCCAGTATACGATTTCCGAACAGAACAAAACCAAAATGTGAAGGTCAGTAAACTTAGTATTTCCTGAATAGTCGATTAATTACCGAATTTTAAAACGTTGCTATTTTTTTCCATATCTCTAGCTGGGCCTTCATCACAAGTGAAAACTCCTGAGATCTCTCCAACGTTAAGGGCTATCAGTAGAGGGACATCAGCCCATCGATCTCCAACTGCGTCTGCTTTCAGTTCATCATTAAAAGATGAAGATGTAAATAACTATGCAAGTTTACCAGCCAGATACAGAAGAAGACCTCTATCACAAGAAGAAATTGAATATATTGAGGTTTGTAGACTTGTTTTCTTGGAGAATCGCCCAAACAACCCTTGAAACTTTCCCGCAACCACCCAACTCCAAGAAATTTTTCCCAGTGGTAAAAATCAGTTCCTCAACAATAATAATTGATGACAACTGATGACAATCAAATGCAATATCAATTAATCAACTGATATTGATAATTATCAATAGATTAATGGATCGCTGAAGTTTTTGTGATTATTGATTGTCATTGATAATATTGATAGGATTTGATCAATTGATATTTTGTCTGAAAATAAAAGGTAAATGCCTTTCATTATATTTCCTGGGAGCCAGATTGTTGCTTATGTAAAAAACAGACTTTGGTATAAGGTTTCTGCACATTGCCATCAGAGGCATATAACCCTGAAGGGTATAACTCTGTTCCAATCGAAATTTACTTCCTAATATGGAATTACTTATATTGAATATTGGGCAAGTGCTTATAGAAGCATTGAGCCAGCATTGTATTGCCATGTATAAAGGGAAATTACAGTTTTACAAAGTAAAATTCTACCAAAATCAGAATATTATTCCCAAAATGGCCATGAATGTCTTCCACCGGACAAGCTAAAGACAGTGGACTAATCATGATAAGCATCTTTTGGATGTTGCTTAACATGTTGATGAAAGCTTGTGTTCACTCAAAAGAGTATGCGTCAACATTACACAATTTTTTTGCCTCATAGTACTAAGGTTCATATCTCAATACTAAGCAATTTACAAAGGCCATTAAGAATAACATAAAATGTTTAACGAAACACAGTGACACGGAAAACTAACAGGGCTTTCAACCAATGTTAATTGAAATGACAGCAGTGTATGGAAAAAGCTAGAACTTCCAAAGTAATGCTGTATGTATACAAATAGCATTGGCAGGTTTCCGGTAAATCAAAAGCCCATATCCTTTTAATCAGATATAGGTATGATCATTGCATGTGCATGTATCATGGCATTGTGACCCAGCCTGACCAGGCAGATCAAGCAATAATACAGTGTAACAAAAAGTGTTTAAATTATCTCAAAATGTTGGTCTAAACCATTGAAAAAATGATACTGTAGTTCAGTTATTTGGGTTCATGAAAACTTGCTTGTTGATTGGTTAACAATTTGATTGACCTTTTAAGTTATTTATCGGTATTGCCAGGGATTAATTGAGTGGTAAATTTTTGTAAGTTTGATATGTAGGGCAATGGTATATACAATCCCTTTTCTTCTTCTGTTTGATTGGGAGTAATTCTGGTGGAGAGTTGATAGTGCATACCTGTTACCAATATTGCAATGCCTTGTGTGTTGAGTTTGTTATTGGTTCTCACCCTTGCTATGAAAGGTTTATCTCTAAGCATTCCAGTGTCCTTCTCTCCTCTAAAACCAAATTCTATTTTTTTCTGGATTGATGAGTAAAGAACCACCTTGTAGATGCATGACCACTCAATACTTTTTATTGATTAATGCTTGAGTCGCACATGGAGGTTGGGTGCCTAGGAACCTGGGGGCTGGAGCCACCGACCCCTAACCCAGTTAGCAAGAACACCCCAAAGGCCTGCCCTACCCAAAACCCAGCCACCATCCCTGCCCGCTACACCCAGCCCCAGCCCAAGCACCTGTCACACTGAACCGAGAGTTCAGTGGGGAAATAAGGACAATAATAATACCAATGATAATAATAAGGGGTGAGGAGGGAGAGGAAAAAACACTAAAACTGAGCAAGACACCCCAAACACTACGCATTGTTAAACTACAAGCACATGTGAACCTGCATGCATAAATTGCAAGTAAACCGCTGACCCAGGGAGCACTGGAATTTGCCTCACAACAGGCCTAGTGTAGTGACGCAAACACTGGCAAAATACGCTAGAGCATAGGATAACTTCCAGCTCACCAAAGCATGCCAATAGAATGCTAACAAACACAAATGCCACACCAATACCACGCTAACATGAAGTTAACTACTGAGCAGCAGAGTAACTTCTCGTTGTCAACTAAGTTAAATAAGTATATTTAACCTCATTTTACCTGTTTGGTAATGTATCCACTGAATGTAATTTGCTTGTCAAAAAGATTATTTCTTGCAAAGTTCCTGGGCTGTTCACATGTACATTGCCTAGTGAATGCAATCAACTTTCTCTAATACAGACACCTTTAGGACTGGCACTATGTCTCTGCCTTAGAGACGTCTGCCTTGTAGAGAGTGAACAAAGGCAGGGACCAATTATTCTTGGTCTCTATTCTAGCAAAGTGTCTGTCTTATAAAGGCATCCATTACGGGAGAGTTGAGAGTATACTAATGTCCTGAAGAAAAACTCATTGAGAATGGCATTCATTTCAACTGGAACTCAGTTTTTGCTTTCCTTCATGTGATTTCAGCGAGGTGGTCCAGATTAGACATGATGTCCCTGCCAGCTGGAATCTTTCTCCATGACCTTGGAATTATTAAAGCTGTGGCCAGACTTTGCTGAATGCAAAATAATTCAAGGAAAAAGATAAATATCACTCCTTGACTTTGAAACTTTGACCAGTCATTTTTGGATGAAGACAAAAATAATAATGTGGACTGCAGTGAAAGGAGGTTAACTTTTATAGGAAAATATAATGTTATTTACAGTTGTTGGCAGGGCCTGGAACTGAGTTATTTGTGACACATACCCACAGTGTTTTTTATGCTTGACACAATTAAAACAAGAAATATGAAGAAATTAAATCTGTCAATAATTAGAACTGATGATCAAGAACTCAGCCATAGTAATAATAATTTATTACCTTACCTTGCCTCTTCACCTCTCCATTGTGTACAAGGCCTGGTTTCAGTTGTGGAATTTTTTTGATGGGAATGGGACATTAACATGATGGATGGGAAATGTCTCAACCTGGAAGGCCAGTTCTTGCAATTCATTTGTCCATTCATTCAAACCTGTAGCCTGCGCAGCAGTCATTTCCATTTCCTTTTAGGCCAAGCCGGGCAAGCACGAAAGACGTGCAAGGCAGAAACGAGCAAAAAAAATTGCTCCACAGGCTAAACCTGCCAAGCATGGTTGAATCTACAGGGGACCAGGGTCCCACTTGGTAAGCTTCCAGAGCCATCAAGGTACACAAACCTCCCCATCACAAGCCAAAAAAATCTTCTTCAAAACTCAAGAAAGATGTGACTGAAATGAAAAAATGGTAATGGGTTGTCTGTGTTATTTAAGCAATAGAAAACATTTTGCGTATTTGCTTAGCCTGATATAAACGTGACGTCTCAGGTTTGCATAACTGTCTCAAATTCTCCCAACCCCTTCAGTGTTCATATCAGGCTATGCAAACACAGGAAAACACAGTTTTCTATTGCTTTTATGAAATAACTTTCCCGAGAGAAAATGCAAAACTCTTTGTTATGACACTGATTAAAAGAGAAATTCTTACCAGTCACAAAGTTTTGTACACGAAGTCTTGCATGCGTAATCAGTTCTTGTTTTGCAAAAAGATGCTATTCAAAATACGGATTTTTCTCACTTAAAATGTCAGCTTAAGCAAAAAAAATTGACACACCTTCTTCAATTTTCAAAGTTTCAGCCGTCGGAGGAATGGGTAAGTAAAGTAAACTTGTCAAGTTTTGAACTCGAAAACTCTTTCAAATTCGTGCTTGCGTGATTAGCTTACGAAAGGCAAAACAGCTTGACGCCATAACCATGTTTACTTACTCTCATGTAAACACTCCTCTTGGCCAATCAGAGCGCATGTACTATCTTATTTATTTTATAAATTGACGTGTAGCTCACCAAGGGGCTGTGGTTACCTTTTCTTTATTCTTTGAGGGCCTGGAGGGGCTACATTACTAATTTTTGGTTTGGACTCAAGTATCCTTAGCTTATACTATTAATATTACTTGTACTAACATGGTTTTTCCCCATTTTGCTACCCTATTCTAGACTAGGCACCAAAATTCCTACCCAGTTCTAGACTAACTATAAAGAAACTTGAATTATTCATACATGTTTCCCTATTTTAGAGCAAGGTCCTCTGATTTCTATACCCTTTAACCAATAAAACTCCTTGTGAATCAACCATGTGCAAGTAGTAGGCATTTAAGCCAAGGAAGAAGGCCATTGAAAGATAGTTTCCATGTGTGTTTAAAAGTATTCATTGAGTGAAATCAATATTGTATACAGTGGTAATCAATATCAAATATGTAGCATCACTTTTCAGTATTGTCTGCCAATTACCTTTATAGCCTGCCCAGTTTGTAATTATTGTTACATCAAATGCGATGAATATGTCTATTTGTATGATCTGTGAGCGAATCATTTTAAACGGAGAAGACACACTCGTTTCCAGTCCCCCGAAGCAGAGCGGAAGTACGTGAACCGTCTTTTCACAAATCAGTAAAACTTGATGAAATATAGATATGGAAGGAACTCCTTTGGAAACGTTTTTGGTGGACTTGGATGAAACAAGAGGAAAACTTCCTTACTGCCGGGAAATTTCCCTTATTCAGCGGCGTGTAAGAAAAGTAATTAAGGCCATTCTACTAGAAGTTCGGAGAGAAAATCCCCTCTTCATGACAACGCTTATCAACAGTGGCAGCTTTTACGAAGGAACTAAAGTGGGAAAGCCTGACGAGTTCGACTTTTTCATACAGCTTGATGCTTTCTCTTCTCCAGAAGATGTTAATTTTGGCGAACTTCCTTGTTCTACTGTGCGCGTGGTCCCAAGCAAATCAGCTTGCGAGAATGTGAGGTTTGCATTTACTGATCGAGAATATGGATCACATTATATGCCGCTATTTGACCTTAGCGATTTTGAGTGGAAGAGAACCATCAAGACGCCATTCTTCAACATATTCAACAGCAAAGCCAACGATTTTGAAGCATATGGGATGAAAGTTGTGTTGCCATATGAAGGAGACGATATAGTGAAAGCACCACTTCCCTTATCGAAACACGGACCAGCATACGCTTTATTGTTGGCATGGAATGGTGGAGAATCGGATCTTTACAAAGGAATGAAAATCAGTGTAGATTTGACATTAGCCGTGAGAATAAACTCAAAATCAACCTTGCGTGGTCTAGAGTTTGATTCCCCAAGCGGTCGAGTGCTGAAGTCTGTCCTAGACAGTCTGCCATATTTCTTAGCTGTTGGCTCCTACAAAGATCCTCTTTCTGAAGAACACCCAGACTACTTTAAGAAGGAGGAGAAACAGTACCCTGGATTGCGGCCGATTAATTTCGTATTGCGCTGTTCTCAATCGTCTTTTGAGCAGTTGCTGTTTGTTCAAGAATTTGGCTCGGACAGTGGTCAAAGCAAATGCCTTAGGTTACTGAAAGTGTTGCGTGACATGATGTTTCCTGAGGCAGAACACAGCATGGCGGAAACAGGAAAAACGGACAAGATCAAAGACTTTAATCTTGCATATTGGATCTCCATGGCAGACGACCCTTCAGATGACACCGGGAAATTGATTTCCTCTTACGTCCTCAAGACTCTAGTGTTGTATGAATGGCAGAAAAACACAAACGCTAAGTTGTGGACTGGAAGTAACCTAACTCAGCGCTTGATTAGCATAATTATCCCCTGGTCTCCCTCCCACTCACCCGGAGACAACAACCACCAGTGAATCCGTTTGGGCATCTTTATTGAACGAGCGAGAGGACCCGAGACCTCGAGAGGAGACCCCAGGGAGGGAGGGAGGGAGGGTGCTAAAATTGATGTTACAGCGAACGAGCGAACTGACAAGGATATAAAATGACAACTAGCGCCGTGAAGAAAACAGCTGACGAGCCGCGAGGGCCTGGGTCTAATTAAGTTATTCCTAAGAATATAAACAATTATCCCCTGGTCTCCCTCCCACTCACCCGGAGACAACAACCACCAGTGAATCCGTTTGGGCATCTTTATTGAACGAGCGAGAGGACCCGAGGCCTCGAGAGGAGACCCCAAACCAAGAAAGAGGCCCAAAGGATTCACAGAGGGGGGGGAAGTCAGAGGGGAAGCAGAGGAGAGAAAAATTAGAGAACATGGCACGATATGAAAAAAAAAGGCACAAAAGGTACAGAAAGACATAAGCAAAGCGAATTGTGAACAAAACCAGAACAATGAAATCTGTGCCAAAATAAAGAAATAAATTTGGGGAACCGACAAAACGATGTATGAACCGTAACAACTGAACGTGCTGAGGACAAAACGAGCCTGTCCGCCAAAGAGGCAGTGTCAGAAACTATGCAGGCTACTAAAAGTAGACTAAACTATAACAGCTGAATGTGCTGAGAAATAACATGAGACAGCACAAGTCTGTCTGCCAAAGGCAGTGTCAAATAGAGCATGTAGGCGTCGGATCTCCAATCACCCTGGACTTTGATGAGCTCGGAGGGGATCCCGCACTGAAAGGCGAAGGTGGCACCTCCACGACGCAGGCTGTGACCGGAGAAATCCTGAGGATTGAGAGAAACCGAAGACGCCAAATACTTGATACTAGCGTTTAAAGAAGAGGCTGTGATACAGTCATGGTGATGAGAAGCGGTGGTGTATGTGAAGAGCGGGAAGCCAGCCGGGGCGGAAACCGAGTCGAGTAACAATCGCAGGGCAGCGGTGGGGCAAAGGGGAGATCCAGGAATACGAGGAACTGGTACCACGAGTGCTGCATCGCCGGTCTGCCGTGTTTTTGTCCGGGTGACTGTGAGGAGAGCACCTGAGGTGGCAAAAGTGATGCTGCCCCTGGACAATGTATGATGAGAGGAGAACTTGTCAAAGGACTGCGGGACGAGGTTGGCAGTTCTGAAGAAGGAGAAGAATCCGACAAGCAGGGCGCACCACACAGCTAGATGGGCGGAGTCGCGAACATTAAGATGGTGGTAAAATTGCAGCAAGATGGCTGGGGTCAGAGGTGCTTTCCGATGAGGAAGGTGAACCATAGACTTCTCCAAACCTTTTTGGGTAAGCTTGACATGGATGTCATCGAAGGCGGAAGTCTCGAAATGGCAAAACACGTGTAAACGCCGTAGGGCGCTCAAGTAGTTGTTGACTGTGCGATGTGACTTAACGGAGAAGCCAAGCAGGGTGATAAACGCAGCGATGGTCGATGAGGAGGCTGGAAAGGGAGTGATGGAGTAAAATTGGCAGAATTTTAAGTAAGTGTTCCAGACGGAATGATAATTTCGCTTGGTGGAATCAGACAGAGCGAAGGCTTGAATCCTGGTGACGCAGGAGTGAAGGTCATCAAGGTGAAAACCTGCAACCAAATAGAGAGGTGATTACCATTGACAGTCAAAATGGAATAGGTCTGAATTACAAGTGTACTCTGTGAGAGTGTCATAGTGAAGAGAAGCGGCCTCGTAGAAGGTGTCTCGAAACTCAGGATGACTGTCCCAACGACTGAGAGCATCAGCAATGATGTTGGCGTAACCGGGAATATGGAGTGCTTGCAGCTCGAAATCGTGAAGGGAGGCGTAGAACCATAAGTCGCGTAGGCACGACTGAATAAAAGGCACGCGGGAACGGCCAGTGTTGATAGCCAGCTCAGTGTTGAGGTTGTCAGTGCGAACCAAGATGCGTAGACCGCGCAAATCCTCAGACCACAGCTTGATGCTGATGGTGACGGCCAACATTTCGAGCGAAGCAATGGAAAGAGAGGCTGGATCAAAACAGGCCGGGAACGAGGAGTGGAAGAAACGGCCACAAAAGAAACCGCCAATACCGGTAAGGCAAGCATCAGTACAGAAGAAATGATCGCTTACTGGCCAAGGGGAAGAACGCAAAAGTGAAACACCATTGTAGACAGAGAGGAATTTGTCCCACCAACGTAAGTCGGACAGCATGTCTGAACTGGGCACGAAACGTGCACGTTTTGTGGGAAGCTGGCGGAGTTCGTTAAGCAGACGCTGCATGAAAATCCGTCCAGGGCTGATACAAGCACAAAGGTAGGAAAGCTTGCCGATGAGAGACTGAAGGTCTGACTTAGTGGACCGTGGAGCTGCTAGCCAAGAACGAATGAGATCGGCGGTGTCTTGAAGTTTATCGGGAGGCACTGCGATGGTCAGGGTGACGGTGTCGTAAGTGAGGCCGAGAAAAACCATTCTCGTGGAAGGTGGACAGTCCTTGGACGGAGACGACTGAAGGCCTAAATCAGTGAACAGACGCTCCAGGTCAGAGAAGGCAAGTGAAGCATCTTCGAAGGTGGATTCGGCCCCGCCGAAGTCATCGATGTAATTGATACAGTCATGGCCAAAGAAAGAGTGAAAGATGTGAGCAATCGCGTTGGTAGTCCGCTGACAGGCAAGGGTTGCAGAACGAAGACCAAATGGGAGGACAACGTCAAAATAAAAGGAGTCACACCAGTGATAGGCAAGAAAGATGTAGTCTCTAGGATCCACTGGAATTTGTCTGTAAGCGCGTTTCAAATCTTTCTTGTAAAGGTAACACCCAGCGCCCTTGGAGAGAATAAGGTCAACAAAATCGGCAGAACGAGGCAGTGAAAGATGGAAAGGCTGATCGAGGTAAGAATCTTTGGGAATTCCGTCATTAACAGAGGAGCCAAGAGGGAAACTGAGGTCCAGTACGACGCGCCTTTTGGTGCCATCCTTTGGGACAGTTAGCAGAGGAGACGTGCGGAGGGGGGCTGGGAAAGGATTGCACGTGAATGGCCCAGCAGTGGCAGAATGTTCGATCTCGGTAGATAAGAAGGCGTCAATGACATCCGGAAAATCGGTGGCTGAAGCATGGTTCGGGGGCTGAGATGAAACAGAAACGACGGAGTGACAGTTAATAGGCCATCCAAAGGCTAGGAAATCGGCAACAACAGAATCAGAGTAATGTTCGAGGTATGATCTCCAAACAGGAATGTTCAGCTTCGACGGAACAGGATTTCGAGTGCCAAAGGCGTTCGGGAGCGGAGACTTGGAGCAAAGAATGTGACGAATAACTGCGGCGTGCGAGTGTTCGCGAGAGAGTAAAAGTTGGCCAGAAAATGCGGTAGAGGGAGCGGAGACAAGGTTGGGCTGCGAAGGAGGCGACGATAAGGCTGTTGAGGCGGGAGCAGGCCAAGAAACGGCGGGCGAAAACGTGCTGTTCGACGGGAGAGATGTGGGAGCTGGAGAAGATAGTCAATCGGCTGTGGTGGGCGGCGGAGGGCGAGTCGGGCAAGAGCCAATGGTGTGGTCTTTGAGCTTGCAATATGCACAAATGTGTTCGACGCCTTCCTGGTGCGAAGGGTTACTGCACGTACCGGTGCGGTTCCATTCGCGGCAATAGGTACGAGGTCGGCCATTGTTGTTACGAAAGCCAGCCGCGTGAAAGGCGGGCGAAGTAACCGGTTTGGATTGCAAGCGATTGGATTCTGTTATATTGAAGCGCTCGATTTCACTGAAATCGTCGCCCCAGCTTGCGAGGCCCGACTCGATGCGATCCAACACGGCAGCATGAAAGGACAGCACTGCTTCCCAGTCGTATTTGGACGCCAAATGCATTAAAGACATGAGGTGGTGCGTCATGAGCGCTTGCTGAGGGGAAGGCTGAGCAGACAAGATATCGAGATAGCCATACACGAATTCTGCCGTCGATAAATCCTTAAACTTCTTTCGGGACAGACCGAAAGGAACGTGAAGATGAGGCCATTCTTGGGGGTTAACGATGCGTGTATTGTGGTCGAGTTGACCTTGGGACTTACCGGAGTTAACTCCTCCACGAACGGTCTCCAAAGAAGGAATGTTTCGAGGCTTGTTGGCGGCCGGGCTGCATGAAACCAATTCCCGAGCTCTTGATTGAGCTTCGAGCTCAAGGAGGCGAAGCTCCAGCTGTTGCTTTTCAATCTGCAGGTTCAGCAAATGTAAGGAGGGGGAATTGCCGGGCGCGGAAGTAGAAGAACCCGGAGCTGTGGTCTCAACACGTGGCGTTGTGTGAACCTCGTGCGATGGAGATTGGTCTAGCGATGGAGTGCCATTCGTAGCGCTGTTTTGCGGTCTTGCGAGGGAAGGCAAATCGTAAACGAACCCTGCAGGCAGCACAGGTACTCGAGTGCGACGTTTTCCGGCGGCTTGAGACATAATAAGATGCTAAAAGACTGAAGAAACTGGAGCGAAATGCTAAAATTGATGTTACAGCGAACGAGCGAACTGACAAGGATATAAAATGACAACTAGCGCCGTGAAGAAAACAGCTGACAAGCCGCGAGGGCCTGGGTCTAATTAAGTTATTCCTAAGAATATAAACCCTTCAAGAGCTGGTGAGATGCTTCAAGTGCAAAAAACTGACAAGCTTCTTTTATTCTGACTATAGCTTGTTTAAGAAGGATTCTCTTGACGTGGATTTTTCAAATGCTGCCGCCATTATTCAAATACTTGTAGATCGGCTGTTATCTTTCAAAAATTTGTCAGTGCCAGAGTACAAGTTTGAAGACTGCCTGGAGAAAATCGCCCAAGACTTGACGATAGTCTGTCGAAAAAAGAAGTTAATTGCTTTTTTGTCCTGTGGATTGCACCATACCTTCCTTGGTTATGATATCCTTCAAAAGGTAATTAAAAAGTCATTGATAAACGAAGGGAAGGGAGAAATTTACGAGTCGCGTGAAAGTACATGTAGGAGTAGACATCCAATTGAGGCAGCATACCGAGGTATAGTGGAAGATAAAGAACGTACACAATTTTTGGACATTTACATTCAAGCTTTCTTAGATCAAATTGCTCCCGAGGAAACCTTGGCCCTCACAAATATCAAGGTCGAGGCTCTTGAATCTTTAAGCTCCGCGGTGAAACAATTTAAAGACATAGCGCGTCGGAGAATGGCTGGACACGATGATTTACCCAGCTACAGCCTTTGGAGCCAGGAACACTGGACAATCGAACAGTCATTTTACAAGTTGACTTCTGATGAGCCAAAGAAATTACTCGTATTACTCCTCAAAATGTTTCGGGAAGACATCAAAGTGCTTCACGATAGGTTGCAGGTTGCAACCTGCAACCTGCAAATTACAACCTCCGGTTAAGTGCGGCGTTTCTGAAGTTGACATGATTGTGAGAGTAGCCGTCTTTCCGGACCAGACAACTTTTCTTCATGTAAACGGGGCCTAAAAAAAACATATTACGGCGGTTACTACTAACACTAGCCTGCGAACAGCAGACGTATTTCGGAGGGAGAGAAGCGACGACCGGAAATAAGTCTGCTGTTCGCAGGCTACACTAACGCGCCCTTGAATGTTTTTTTTTTCTCTCTGTTGAAACCTAAGTTTCGTGGATGTCAATCCACTGTTTCTATGGTTTTCTCACGTACTCTGACAAAGAAGGTTCCCCGGCTCGTCGCTGAATGAAGGGCGAAGACTTGCCAGAATAATTCGAATGACGACGGCGTTTTTAATTTTATTTATTTCATTAAGATGAAGGATTACATTGTTAAAACAACGAGGTTTCTGCGAGCTGAGTGAAATGGCCGATATACCCTCTATAGTTAACGTAAAAGTTTTCACAGGAGCATAAATATTCAAAGAAACGAAAGATATCACACCGACAATTAAGGGACAAATGTTTCCTCTGAAGGGAGGCTGTTTTCGAAAATGAATTTTGTAACCTGCAGATCTACTTATCATTCTTCATGTTATCGAACAGAATCCTGAACAAGCAAGAACTCAGACAAGCTGGGAGCGCATATTGAGAAAGAGTTTCCTGCGACAAACATTCAACAGATTCGTACTCCTCGTTATCTTGACTTGAAGCGGTGTCAGATCCTGTAGCAATTATTGCAAAAACGGCTTAAACGCCGACAATTTCCTCCAAGTGCTCGAGAAACGGGGAAAGAATCTTCTCTTGGAAAACGCGTGAAAACCATGGGAACATTTGATTGACGTCCACCAAACCGCAGGTTTGAACCGAAGAAAGAACTTTGACGGCGCGTGTTAGTGGTAACCGTCATATAGTAAATCTCTCAAACAGACTAAAACCAAATTCAGGCACTGGTAGATTTTTCACTACACAGGGGATGAAATTGTAAAAGTTAGCCCATTTCCTTCCTGCATGGTTACCTAACACCAAAAGCGCTTGCCGTAAATGACCTAATAGACGCCCTCTCTCAAATAAGGGCCTCTTGTCTAATAAACGCCCCCCCCCCCCAACCCTTTAAAGTTTGTATTATACCCCTCAGCTCTCTTCAATTAACGCTGCCCCCCTCCCCCCGTTCAACGAACGCCCTTCCTGACAATTGCTCCAAAATACTAAGAAATAGCGAAATAGAGCAAAATAAATCAAGTCTTTCAGTTTCTTGCTCGGATGGACTGGATAGTCTGCCAGTTATAAACGGTGGTGATGTATTGCCTGAAAGCTTATAAGTTTTGTAAAGCTTTGTACAGTTATTAGTCAGAATAAACACCTGTCTTTTTTAAACGCCTCCCCTATGACGGAAAAATTCCGGTAAGCTACGTGGCACTTTAGAAAACAGAAGTAGCGAAAATGTTCATTAAAAAATAAATTATGAACAAAAGAGCCGTGCTTAAGCTGGAGCTCCTTTCCAAACGTTTCGGGCCTGGCCCTTCATCAGTGAAATTGATGAAGTCAGTCTGCGTATTCAGGTACGCTTCGGAGGTCATAAATAAAAAATTGATAAAATGCAGTTTAAATTATTATTTTTTGAAGATTTTCACCGACTGCCTGACATTTGTAAAGTACGTTTATGAAGTCAGCAATAAGCTGCAAATGAAAAGATGCTTCCGAAGCTCTGTTTCGCGGAGTTTAACAGTGGCCAACATATAAGAAAGAAAATTGTCGGCCTTCATAACCATAGTACTTCATTAACTATACATATAGTACTTGTATTTTAAAACCAGCTGTGCGCAACCCTTGGCAACAACACTCCCTGCTGTCAACATTCACAACTGCCTCAACCAAGATCCAATCAGAATTTTGCATATTCTGACGACAGGCTTGCTTGAACAAAAAGAAAAATTAAAAGAAAAGCGACCGGACGATGGAATGAGTTAGGGTCATAGCAGGTGAAAAAATCATGCCATAGTTTTATTATTGATAGTGGCACTGACATGGAAAGTTTAGAACATGAATTTAAAAAACTTGATGTGAGTCGACCAAAGCAAAGGGAGGACGAATCAAAATCAGGAGAATCTTCTAATGAAAATGCACCGGCTGCTGCCGAGTCCCTGTTGCCTTTAGATCACTTCATACAAGACCTGGATGAACGAAAAGGCAAGCTACCTTGCTGTCAAGAATATGTTCAAGAAATCACTGACATTCAGGTCAGTGTTGAAAATTTTCTTAAAGTTCTTCTTTTGGACATAGAGAAAGACTTTCCTTTCTTCAAAACAACACTTATAAACAGTGGAAGCTTTTACGAGGGAACGAAAGTCGGAAAGCCCGACGAGTTCGACTATTTTGTTCAGTTGGATAACTTCTCTCAAGACATTCGCTTTGAGGAGTTAGAACATGGTATGGTGGCAGTGATTCCAAGCGAATCAGCTTTCGAAAAGCTACCAAAGGTGAATCATAGCCTTCATTCTTTTGACTGGAAAGTAAATATTAAGTCGCCGTTTGTCGAAGCATTGGACAGCAAGTTAGTCAAGGGGTTTAAAGCGTTCGGTCTGAAAGTCCTTTCAGATGAAATGGGAAGTCTGCGAAGGCATGGGCCTGCTTACACTTTATACCTCAAATGGACTGGAGGGAAGAAATACAAAGGATTGATTATCGCCGTTGATTTGGTTCTAGCAGTGAAGATTAACACTCATTCTTCAACCATGAAAGTAGACTTTAAATCTCAAGCAGGAAGCGTTGTGTCGTCTTTGTTAGGTACTTTACCATACTACTTCGCAGTGAGCGGATACAAGGAATACCCAGTTTCATCATCATCAAACTTGTTCAAGAAATTTAAGGAAGAGCAGAAAGAAAGAGTCTTGGAATTTCCAATATCTGAACCAAAAATCAGCCTGAGAGAATCTCATTGCCTTTTACGTTGTTCGCAGTCATGTCTTGAACAGTTACTGTTCCGTGACCATTTTGGTCCTGATGGTGGACCAAGTGTGTGTCTCAGAGTGCTCAAGGTGTTGCGTGACATGACTCGTCCATTTGATCAGTACGCAGAGTATGAGCATTGCCTCTGCCAATACACCTTGGGTTCAGGAAAATCTATTGAAGAGAAAGTACGGGAATTTGTCAATACAGGCAAAGAAATTAATTCTGACTGGCACAGAAAAATGCGCTTTTTGTGTAGTGTTACAGAACCAGAAAGTACCACATTTATTTCTTCATACACCCTCAAAACTCTTGTTTTGTTTGAATGGAGTGAAAACCCAGGAGAAAAACAGTGGACTGGGCGCAACCTCACTCAGCGTGTTGTGAACATAGTTACTGTTCTTCTACGCACCTTGGAGCAAAATAAAGGGATAAGAAGCTTTTGGTATAAAGACTACAATGTTCTTGGAAATCCTGACAAAATGGCGTCTCTGCCTGCAGCCATCAACAGGGTGACCATCATTCTTAAATGTTTATCATCCTTACGAACTGCCAGCCAAAGTCGTATTGAGGATTGTGTTCAAACTCTTACAAATTTACTGACGTTGGCTCGCCGTAAGATGAAATTGACAAGATTCTTGCATAGTGCGCTGCGAGATATTTTCGATGATAAGATTACAAAAGTTCTGGAAGAATCCGTTGGTAAGACAAAAAAGCTGGAAGAAGGTCTCCCTATTCTAAAAGGTGGTAAGGTGTGCAGGATGTTGAATTCATCAATTATTGATGTAGACTTTTTGTTTGCGTCATCCGTTTTCTGTAGTATCTACATTCAAGCCCTTCTTGAAAAGTTAGCTCCAGTGGAGGATTTTCACATTCTTAGTTCTTACTTCAAATACAAAGACGACAGGGTATCTGTATCAGGTACTGATAGTTTTGCTAAGGAAGAAGCTGAGGAGATTGTTAAGAATGCAAGAGACATCTTTGAGAAAAATGCACGTAAAACAATGAACAATCTTGACAATTTACCAGACTACAGTCTCTGGTCGCAGGAATTCGAACATGATGGGGTGGCAAGCTTGTTGAAGTTGCTGTGCGAGAACTTTAATAAAGATCTTGAAATCATGCGGAATACAATCAAAGCTCTAAAAGAATCAAGGAAGACTGGCAATGGTGTGTAAAATTGAGATACGTTTTTGCCAGAAGAAAATACAAAGATTTGGGATCAGTTTATTATTCTCGGGAAGCTACTTAGTGAGAAGATGGTCCTAAACGTTAGCTGAGCGAAAAC